CGATCTTATCTTGTATCAAAGGAAAGAGATGCTGCTTTTGATCAACAATGAACATTCTCTTGAAGCCAAAGTATCTTCATCTTGGAGCAATGAAATCAACACTAATTGTTGATTCAACTTTCATTAAGCAAGTTCAGTCAAGTATGTATTCTGATCCTCTTATTTGTGATATGAAGAAAAATCCTTCAAAGTCTCATGATACTTCTAAGTTTGAATTCAAGAAGAATCTACTATATTTTGAGGGACGCCTATATGTTGCAGAAGGTGAAGCTCGATTACATGTTCTTCAAGCTCGTCATGACTTTCCAACAGCAAGACATTTTGGGTACAATAAAACTTTGGAACTAATATCCAAGGACTTTTGGTGGCAACAAATGTGGAAAGCAGTCAAAGATTTTGTACAATCTTGTGATGTTTGCTCAAGATCAAAAACTCCTCGTCATCAACCTTATGGACTTCTTCAGCAATTACCCATTCCAAAACAACCATGATCTTCTATTTCTATGGATCTCATCACGAATCTTTCAATTTCAAGTTCTTATGACTCTATATTCGTGATATTAGATTGTTTTATCAAGATGGCACATTTTGTTCCATGTACAAAATCTATCACCGGTGAAGAAATAGCTAAGCTCTTTCTTGACAATATCTATCGCTATCATGGATTACCTAAGGATATTATATCAGATAGGAAAACTCAATTTATATCAAGATTTTGGCGGACTCTTTTTAAGATTCTAAAAGTAGATATAAAACTATCTTTGGCATTCCATCCTCAAACTGATGGACAAACGGAGCATGTTAATCAAGTTTTGGAGCAATATTTATGATGTACCATTAACTATCAATAAGATGATTGGACAACTCTTTTGTCATTGGCAGAGTTTGCTTACAATAACACGGTATATTCTTCTATAAAATAAACACCTTTCTTTGCTAATTATGGTTATCATCCACGACTTGATACTTTTGACTTTTCAAAAGTTCATAATTCTACTACAAAAGATTTGGCAATTCATTTGTCAGAGCTACATACAATGATGAAGGCGCAGTTAAAAGAAGCTCAAGAACAACAAAAGGTTAATGCGGATGTCTATTAAAATGAACAACCACCATTCCACATGGGTGATAAAGTATGGTTACTTCATGGCAATATCAAAACCACTTGTGCTTGTGACAGGTTGGACTATCAAAGGCTTGGATCATTTTCTATTTCTGCACAAATCAATCCAGTTGCATATTATTTACATCTACAGGAGCCAATGAAAATCCATCCAGTATTCCATGTGTGTCTTCTTGAACCATACAAGACAGTGGACATATCAAGAAGAAGATAAGCTCTACCTCTTTCTATAGAAGTAGACAATAATAAAGAGTTTGAAGTGGAAGAAGTCTTAGATTCAAGGCGGCGGCAAAATAAATTAGAATATCTTGTCCATTGGTGCGGATATGATATTAGTGAATGCACATGGGAGCGAGTAAAGAATCTTGCAAATGCAACAAAGGCGGTGGAGGCTTTTCATTGACGACATCCATCAAAATCAAGATGAAAACCTTCTTTATAGAAGAAACAACATCTAGGCAAGATATCATTCTACTTTCAATCCTTGTTTGTAGCTTCTTTGTAGTTGTGACGCTCAGAAAATAGAGAACCAACAACCAACGGATTCGACTCAAGAGCCTTCATTTGCTGATCTACTGGACGAGACATTACAATTGTTACACTCTTCAAGATGATGCAATCGAGATGAAGATCTTAAAGAACGACATGTTCTTCCTCGAATAGATGGCGAGATACAACGCGTTTGGTATCACGTCCTTAGAAAGGACTTCCAATGTTTGGTGATTTTACTAGAGGTGGGAACAATTCTTGATGGTGTTCCAAATATTTTATTCGAAGGAAGTTATGAAAGCCTCAACAATGATCAAATAACTGGGTGGTCTTCTCGCCCTAGTACGGGACACTACCAATAGTTGAGAGGCCCTATCAATCATCTTTCAAGAGAACAAAGATCAAAATATGTCACGAATACAATTTGTCGCATCATAGATTTCCTCAACATATGATTACCGCTCCTCGTGGAACTTGTTCCTAGAAGGGGGGGGGGGTAATGTCATGGACATATGCATGTAAGCCAATAATTATATGTATAAATAAGTAGAAGTAAATAAAAGTAGGTAAAAATAAGTTAATTCTATAGTATTTGATATGGAAGCTTCCTAAAAGCTTTATAGATACTACTTTGACTTTATAAGTGTCTTTAATTGACTTTTTGGGATTAAAAACGCAGTCAACAAGTTAGCCATGTACCACACATGTTGTTAGCTTGAAGACCAAGCTAACTATGTGGCCCAAACATAGAAAAACTTACCTTGTAAGTCAAAGCATGTGTCCTACAAAGTCAACACATATTGGAGGTCCTATAGAATGTCGCCATTGTAGCCCTTAGTTAGATAGTATATATAGAGACAAGAATGAAGCCTTCTTCACTCTTGTCAACTCCTTTCTTCCTTCCAGTCTAGTTACAAGGGTCTCTAGTTTCCTTGGCTTTTGGCAATAGCTATTCTAGTTTCTTTCTTAATATATATATCAATTTATTTCTATTTTGTCATCTTTCTATTAGAGAAGTCTCACTTGTTTATTTGTTTTTATCATATTCTTGTCCTTGACATTTGTATAGCCTTGAGTTTTTTACAAATGAAATAATTATTTATTAAGAGGTCTTGTATTTTATAAAGAAAAGATTTTATAATCTTGATGTAAGAGACTTATATACTTTTTAATATAATATACTTTTTATTTTTTCAGATTGTAGCATAATAAATGAATATTTATTGGTTATGTTAAAATTTTAGTAACCTAATTAAAAGATATATTTTGAAAAGAGAATTTCATTTGAACTATGTAAGCCAATCTAGTCATTCAATTTAAGGACTTTAAATCTTGCATCAAGTATGAATCTCTACAAACCAAGATTCTTGTCCAAAATATATGATAAAAAAAACTTTATTATTTTAAAGATAAAATTATTAGCCCGCCTTGGTAAGTATTGAGGTTATAAAGTCATTGATTCTTTGTATTACTTTCTTATGAAGTTCCATTGTTTGTGGTTCAAAAATATATAAGTAAATGAGAGATTTTTTTTCCTATTAAATTTTATTTATTATTTATTCCGTTTTTATTTATTTACTTTAAAAATAGATTTAGAATAGTTAATTTTGAGATATTAATTATTTTTTATCAAGCCTTATCTATAAATAACTAAATCTTAGAGCCTTTTTATTTATTTTTGTTTAAAGATCAATGACTATTCAAAGTTTTGATTTTATTTTCTTAAATTTTTTAGAAAGGCCAATATTAATATATATTATAGGAGCATTTGAAGGCTAAAATTTGTGAAGGTAAAATTTATTCTTTAATCCAAATTACAAGATAATTTCATTCTAATTTTTTTTTGTTATTATTGGTATAAATTAAAAAAAAAAAAAACAAAACAAAACAAAACAAAAAAAAAAAAAAAAAAGAACAACAAAATCAAGTGAAAGAATTACAATTAAGCAATTACACATTACAAACTAGTCATAATCTATTCACTAGATTTTTATCTAATAAAAAGTAAAAATTAAAATTATAAAGTATACTTCTAAATAGATTTTTTTTTTTATTTTAACTTTTCAATGATATAAAAAAAACTAAAATCTCAAATTACTATGAATAAGTTTTATTGATTTAAAGATAAAAAATAAAAAAACAAAAAATTAAAGTAAATATGTTTTACCTCAAAAATACCTTATTGAAGACATCAATGATTTGAACCTCACTAAGGCTCATAAGTAGTATACAAGGATATCCTAAAGAGACTACAATACTTTAGTCTTATTTTCCTACCTACATCCAAGGTGCTACAACATGCATGGAATTTGTACACATCCCTTCCTACAAGTACAACACAAGCTATTGGTCTTCCTATTTTTTTATTGATAAAATTATTTTTCTTATATTTTTTACTTTATTTTAGTATTAAAAAAACATCCAATTAGCCTAGGATCCTTACAATGCCTTCAAATATTGCTCAATTTCTTTACAATGGTCTTCAATTTAGTAATCAAAGTCAAAAATAATTTCTCTTAAAATCCTTAATAAATTTTGAATTAATTCTAAAAATATCTATAATATTTTTATAATCCTTATATAAATTTAAGACTAATTTTGTTTTACCTTGGTGATTCTTTTTAGTAATGAGAATAATTTAAATCAACTAAAATTTTATCTTATATATAAATAGTTAAAACAAATTGAAGTTCTTTTTTATGTTCTTTTTATGTCTCCAAGAGTTACTAAGATTCTTTTTTTATGATTTGTTTTTTAATAAGATTCTTACAACTTATATAACCTTCTAAATTTTGATAGATGCTTAAATAATTAAATAAATTCTCTACTCTTAATATTTTTTATTTAAATAATTTTAAAAACTATTTTTGATGAGTGAGTCACTAAATTCTTCACTTGGATATTTAGTATAAAAAATGCACTTATTGTGCTTAAAATCACAGATTTTGTGAGTTAATAGTAGAATTTTTAGGAGAAATAAAAAATAGATTGCTACCAGTGGATATGTAGCCTAGGATAGAATTTATTAAGATAAATTTCCATGGTGGATATATTTTTTTTAGCTAACATTAGATGATGGCCAATGGGAGTAGCCTTGTTCTCAAAAGAAAATAGAACTTTAGTATTAGTGGTAATATATATATATATAATAAAAATAAATGAAGAGAATTTAAAGTTAGAAATAAATCAAGAAATAGGAACAGGAAAATATAGAAGAAAAGAAGAAGGAGAGAAAGAGGAGAAGAGAAGATTAAAAAAAAAAAAAAAAAAAAAAACAAGAAAAAAGAAAATACCTTACCCTCCTTGAAATTTAAGAGGAAGGACTGATCCAGTTTCTTCGAAAAGATTCGTCGAGGTCCGGCAAAGAGCGTCTTTGGCTTCATTGTTCCCTCTCTTCTTTTTGTGTTGGAGGAGCTCCGTTTTTTGGAATATGCGCTTCATCGGTGGTGTTGCGGCAGCCGTTGCAATGGAAGTTGACGTGCGGTGGAAGCGGCGCAGGGAGGTAGGAGACGATCTTCTTCCGTGTGGTTGCCGTAGTGAGCAGCGATGCATTGTGTATTGGGCGTGAACGCAAGTGTTGAGGACGACTGTGTTTAATTCGGATCTGGGCAGTGTAATGCTTCAGCGGCGGCTGGTGTCACTGCTACTGTCGATTGCTTCCGGTTCTTCTTCTATCATCGTCGATGTCGTTGGTGGCTCGTAAGCGACGTCGAGCATCTTTTTTTATTTTTATTTTTTCTGCAATCAGCGTGGAATGGAGAGGTTCTAGTTGCGTATCTAGAAGGTGTTTCGAAGGGTCATGTCGCTGCGCAATTGGCTTTTGAGGAGCATCGACAATTTTCTCACTTCCAAGGAGCTAGTTGCCACTTTTGAGGAGTAAGGTGTAACGGTTGACAGGACCAGGAACTCCTCCACATGCAATGGAGTGGTGCTCTGGCGATCGATCTCCCTTCTTCTTGTTTTCATTTTTTTTGTTCGTAAGAGGTGTGGCTCCAAAGGTGTGAATTGTTTTTTCTCATCGATGTTTTTTTTTTTTTTTTTTTTTTTTTTTTGCGTGTTGCTGCGGCGTTGCAAAAAAAAATAAAGAAAAAAAAGAAAAAAAGATCAGGGTTGCTGTTGGACCTCCTGTTTTTTCTTTTTTTATTTTTCTCGATGCGATTGCAAGTTTTGGTGATTATGGCGCAGCTAAGATCGAGGCGGACGACGTGATTTGTTGCGGTGGTTGGTTTTTTCCCTCTCTCTATAAACTTTGATCTTAAACTGTTGTCGGAAGGTACGGCTTTAACGTGTATGTGGTGCCTGGATTGTTGCTGCGGTGGTGTCGCAAGCGGTTTTTGTGGTGCAATGGACCGGCAGAGTGCCATTCAAGGCATCTGGGTTAGTTCTTGTGTTCAATTCTTGTTTTCTTTTTCCGTTTTTTGCTCTATTGAAGAGCTGCGGTGCAGCACTGCCCTGCCCCCTTGTTCCTGGTTTTACCTCTGTGTGTGCCTTCATCAAGTGGCGCTCTAGAGTGAATCTTTTATTTTTTTTCTTTTTGTTCGGATCCTTGGAGGTGTGACTATGGGTTGCTTTGTTCAGTGGAGGCACTGATCATCATCGAGTACGCGGTGTGTTCCTCACCTTTCGTGGTTCGGGTCGTCGTCGACTACAATAGTGCGGCGAAGGTGGATCAGTGTCTTCCTTCTTGTTGTTTACACTGCCGGACCTTGGTGGGCGGCTCTTGCTACCTAGGTGGAGCTCGAAGACAGTGTGGCAACAGCAGTGTTCTTCTTTCAGATTCACTCAAGTTGTGTGCCGCACCCTTCAAAATCGAGGGGATTGGAAATTCTGCTGGAGGGCAGAGTTATCAGCAACCTTGAACGGAGGCTTGCAGTACATTGACACAATTCTTTCTACTGTAGTAGTGTCTTTGATTGAATTCTCGAAAAACCATTGATGGCAAAAATACCAGTAACGTCGTAGTTAAACAGGCTGACTCTGCTTTGTCCTTAGGAATTAAGCCATCACAATTTTTGTCGTTTAGGTTCTGTAACAAAACAGAATTCCGACTCAAGGCACTGATTCTACCTCCTCAGCCTTGGGGGGTTGACGCCGGCGAACCAGGAACACAAGATAGTTTTAGATTTTGTTGAGCGGAATTCCAGGAAAAGAACAACAAAAGAATAAATGTGTAGCATTTTATCTCTCTTTAATGAGCTATTCTACGCTATCCACGCAAGTGCAGCACCTCCAATTCGCCTGGTCGCCCAGTGACAGTCGTAGACCCCAGTGAAGGTTCGAGGTTGACCATTCAGTTCAAGCACATTAAGCGGCATTGCTGGAGGGAGAGCTCCGACTAGTGGATTGCATTTACGAGACTGCACAGCCTCGACGTCACCTCTTTTTCAAAGTGAATTATAAGGTGACAAATTCTAATAGGGAGATGTTAGGTTAGGACTCAAGTAAATTAAGATTTGGATGGAAAATATTGGATTTGGATAAGATTAATTTAAGGATGAGTTTAATACATGGATGAATTATCATTACGGATGAAAATTACTATTCAAGGATGAAAATTATCCATGGATGAATTTTAATTAAATATAAATTAAGCTAAGATAAAAAAAAATAAGTAAAAATAAAAATAAAAAATCATAAAAAATCATAAAAAAATAAAATAAAAATCATATTGTTAATTGTTCAATTGTGTGAAAATTGTTGAGGATTTATTATTATAAGTGTAAGTTGATAGTAGAGTTTGGCTTCATTGCTTGAATTATTTAAGAAGAATAACAAGTGAATTGGTTAAGATTTAATTAATAGTTTTTAACCTATAAAATTCACATAGTAATCCACTTGTTGTGAACTAGAATAAACTTCCAATTAGTGGAGGTTTATTTTAGCTCACATAATGATTCTACTAATTAAGAACAATTGTAATGACTCACAAATTTACTTAGGTAAAAGATCTTCATTGCTCATTTGGAAAGTAAGGATGTTAAAGCTTCTTATGGATCTACAATATAATGGCTATTAACCTTCAAAATATTATAATACATCTTCTATGATACTTTTGCTTCAATGAGATTTTAAGAGCTTCTCCAGTCAAAGTTTCTAATAAGAGATTTAATTTTTTGATAGCTTTTTGAGAGCCACTTCAAATTGTTAATAATAAATATGTGAAGGAGAGAAGGACATTATTTACTATGATAGATCTTCTAAACATGTTGAGTTTTGCAACAAATTAAAGTCAATTTTTTTTTTTTTAATTTAATTTTATCAATTATAAATTTATCAATAGCTTTGGTGGTCATTATTAATTGAAATAATGTTTCCAACATCTTTAATATATCATTTTTATCTATTTTTAGCCAAAAGTATTGGCTTATGAAGGTTTCATAATGGTTTTGTATTATCAATAAGCTAACAATTTGGACGAGTTTATATTTAAGCCAAAGGCACAATTGAATTGGTATAAAATATTGACCACTTGAAATTTAAATTTTCATCTTTTTTTAAGGCTAAAGTGGATTCATCCACATGTTGATTCAAAGAATTTTGAATTTTTTTTGCTTAAAAGAAATATACTTTAAATATGATATTATTTGATTTTTTTATGATGAATTAGATTAATTATTCTTTTTATAATTAGAAAGATGTAAGAGACAAGAAAACACATTTTTCTTATTTTTTTAAAGATTAAAAAGCTTGTGGTTAGATTTCTATTTATATATATAATAGCTTTTGTACTTTTAAATAATAAGTTTTTATATATTTTAATAAATTATGGTACATATAATAATACAACCATTAGGTGAAAGAAAAAAAGAAAGATTATATTATACAAAAGTTTAAATGAAAATATTTAAAAAATTATCTTAAAAATATAGATAATAAAACAAAAGGTTGTAAAAATTAATTAATTTTTATACTACCTTCTTATAAAAGAAACTTCTACTTATTTTGTAAGACTATAAATAAGAAAAAATAAAATATATTAAGAAAATAAATCATGTAGACATCTATAAAAAAAAATAAAAATAGTGCTTAGTAAAAATTATTCCAAAATACTAAGAATTTATATTCAAAGAGGACCCATTGCAAACTAGGGCCAAAATCAGATCATAAGGTATAAAATCGTGCATCCAAAATGATTCTAAGATTCTTCAATTAATCAAAATGTGGAATTTGAGAATAAACTAGAAATGATTTTTTAAGAATTGATTTCATGTAATTTAGAGATATATTGAGTTTTTAAAGGCTTTTCAAAGAAAGAGGTGTACTTAGTACTTTTAAATTTTTAGAAATAAAAAAGGTTTATAATTTTGAATATTCTATGAATATTATAGCACATTTATAAGTAAATTCTTATAAATTTTTCATCATAATTGTCTTCAATGTATTTAAAAAATTTGTTGTCAATTAAATAGTTAGATTTGAGATTATAAGAATTTTATTAGATTAAGATTTGAGGTTTTTGAAATTTAGAATCACTAAATTAGGATTTTTTAAAAGTTGATTTAGAATTACAATAGGATTTGATTAGGATTGATTTAGAATTTTATTAAAATTTATTTAAGATTAATTTAGAATTACATTAAGTTTGATTTAGGATTTCATTAAGAATTGATTAGAGTTTGGTTAGAATTTGGTTTAGGATTTCATTAGGATTTGGTTAGGATCGGTTTAGGATATTATTAGAATTTTTTTAGAATTTGGTTTAAGTTCTTATTAGAATTTGATTAAGATTTGATTAAGATTTGATTAGAATTTAATTTAAAATTTTATTAGAATTTGATTAAATTTACTTAGAATTTAGTTAGGATTGGTTTGGAATTTTTTAAGGATTATATAAGAAATTGATTAGGATTCATTTAAGATTTATATTTTTAATATTTCTTTAATATTAATTAATAATTTTTTATATTTCTTTTGTAATTTCTTTAAGACTTCTTTTGAGTTTGATGAAAAGATGGATTAACATTGTTAAGATTTAATTAATTATTTTTTTAGGATTCTATTATTTAAGATCAAGAAGATCTTCTATAATTGCAACTACATAGAGTTAAACCATAATAAATTGCTAATAATCAAAAGATATCAAAGGAGTAAAATAATTTAATATAGTAGTAGCTAGATAAAGAGAAATTTAAGGTTTAATTGAATGTAGCAAAGAAGGATGAATATGATTGTAGATAAAGACTCCAACTATAAGTAAAGAGTGTTGGATGTGAGAATTATCTTATTTCACACTTCTCTTGGGTATAACCTTGCTAATGTTAATTATTGTGGCTTCTAACTTTTTTTTTCTTAATTAAGTTATAGACCCATTCACATTTCCTTGTGAATTTTTTGAAGTTATATGAAGTCTTCATTGTTGTGTAGAATAGAACATATTGTTCCTGTTGATGTTAGGATTTTAAAACTCCTAACTTTCAAATTCAGATTTAGATTTAGATCTTTGTTTGATCTTATTTGTTATTAACTATATCTTGAATTTAGAGTTTGATTAACACCTTACAGTGATATTATAGAATATTAGTGTTATATTTTCTTACTAAGTTAAAACTTTGGTGGATTAATTTTTTAGTTTCATGTATAAAAAGTAAAAGTACTTAAAAGATCTTTTATGGTGCCTAAAAATGATTTGTAAGCATAAAAGTCATAAAAGAGTAGAAAATTTTGTTTGAGACGTTTATGTAGTTTATTGGACTTGTAAAAGGTCCTAGAAGTGAAGTGGAGAGTGTTTTGAGAGTGAAAATACTAATTTATTCATAAAGATGGTATTTTGAGATTATAAGGCAAAATACCTTCTTGTTGATTTTGAGAGCTCTAGGACTATTTTTCTTGAACTTTTTTTGATACATTTCTCTATTAAATATGACTTCAAGTGATGGTGTAGGCTTAAGAGTAATTGAAAAAATTAAAAGATAAGAATTTCTATCATTGGAAGGTAAAAATAGAGTTTTTGTTGGCTTCTTTGGATCTTTAGAATATTGTAGATGAAAGTGAAGAGAGTCCAAGCATGCATGTTGATATAAAGGAAAAAAAAAGACCACAAACATTGTAAAAAGAAGGCTTTTGAATTGATTGCATGCAATGTTGATGAAGCCAACTTCTTTCACATTATCTCTTACAAAAGACCAACAAAAACATAAAAGAATCTTTGCAATATCTATGAAAGTAAGAACTTATCCAATATCATTTATAAAATGAAGAAGTTCTTCACTTGAAAGTTAGAAGAAGGTAAAGACCTCATGGCACACATCAACAAGGTGAAGGCACTTGCAAACCAACTTATAATTATAGGCAAGCCTTTAAAAGATGCAAATATTATCATGACTCTATTTATGAGCTTGCCAAAATCATGCAACTACTTCACTATGGCTTTGGAATCTATTAAGATAAAAGAACTCATAATCAACTAAATGATGGGAAGACTTAATTATAAAGTAACTAAAAGGAAAGAAAAAAAAGCCTCAAAGTGAAGATTCAACATTCTACTTACAACAAGGCAAGGGTAACTATTCAAATCAATAAGATAATGTCAAAACTTCCTTTATTTATATTAAAGTAGGATATTTTGCTCGAAATTACTATAAAGATGCAAAAATAGAAAGGAAGAATCCAAGTAGTATGCAAGATGAATTTGAAGGATAAGATTATGCATTCACAGCAGCAAATGTCACTTCCATGGCTGCCATGTTACGATGGATTGTAAACTCAAGTTGTTTCAAGCATATGATCCCTTATAAATATTCATTTGATATTTATGAGACTATTTCAATATCAAATGTGATTTTGGCAAACAGTGGCACATGTAAAGCCATTGGAATTGATTCTATTATGTTGGAGGTGGTTGTGAATAGAAAAATCAATAGGATCAAATTTAAAAACGTCTTCTATGTGCTGAAGATATAGAAAAATATATTTTTAATGAATAAACTTGTAATGAAATATTTTATGATTCAATTCAATAAGAATGGATATTTTATAAGAAAATTGTGTGGAAATATAATTGCCAAGGACTCTAAAGAGGGAAATTTATACCACTTCAAGTACAAAAAGGTCAATAGAGTGGAAGTATCTACATTTATTGAAATTACATCAAACCAAGGTAAGTTGAATATATGGCATCATTATCTTGGCTATTTGAACGTGAAGAGCATGGCAAAGCTTAAATCTATGATAAGTGGCTTAGATCTTGATAAAAAAAAAAGGCAAAATAGAATACAACTTATATGTAAAAGATTCATATAAGACAAATAATAAAGAACCTTATTTTCAAGTGGTGTAGCAACATGTGCTACAAAGTTATTGAAAATTATCCATTTTGATAAATGGACCTATAAAGGCCATAAATATTGGAGGAATAAGATATTTTTTTTATTTTTATTGATGATTTTTTAAGAAAGATTTGGATCTACACTCTTAAAGCTAAAAGTGAGTACTTTTGGAAGTTTAAAGAATTTAAAATACTTATTGATAAATAAAGTGATTGTAAGATTAAGGTGTTGCATATGCACAATG